GACAAGAGGAGGAGGAGGAGGGGGAGGAAGGGGAACAGAAGAGATTCAAGGAACGGGGGCAACGGTGATCAAGGAGAGCAGAGGAGGGCAGGAATGAGAAGGGAAGAAAGGACGTTCTTCGACTGTCATCTCCAACTTGAGTCATGGACTTCATCTAGATGAAGCTCATGTGTGATTGCATCCGCAACGCCTTCATGTGATGTTTGTTTCTCCAGAATGACGAAGATGGAATCTATCTACCATCAAACACAGGTGATCTATCCACGTTCAAGCTTGTTTCGTAAGCTACTTCACTGAGCGTGGTCTAGTTTGAACTCAGGGAGGCAGCGAGACGCAAGATGTTAGCGCGCAAGTTTATCGAGATTGAGTTGCTGTGGGAAAGCAGCTGGTTGAGAAGCGCCTTAACTTGACAGCAGGCGGCAGCTCACGGAGCAGCGCGTGAACAAGAACTTCGAGGAAGCTGTGCGATCAAGGTGAAAGCAAGTCCAGGACGCAGACGATCTCATCCCCCATGCAGGTCCCTTCTGTTCGCCAAGCAGGCAGAGGAGCTAGAGAGGTAGCTGATGCCGTCGCGATCGCCGTGACTCGCGACATTCAGGAAGCGACGGTGCGAAGAGAATCCTGTGGCGCATGAGCAGCGAGGCAGAGGTTCGCTCCTTTTAGACACGCGAGTGCGGGAGCTGCTCTCTCCCCTCACAGCATGACGGCAGGGTGTCTTGATCGCGTTCGAGCAGCCGAGGAGGAGGAGCGAGCAGGTCGCATTGCTTCCGATACGGTTGGTGGAAGAGGAGAAGAGGCTGGTGTGACGGCGTTTGCAGGCGATGGTGCAGATAGCTGGGAAGGACGACAGCATGAGAGAGAAGTTCAGCCTGAGCGACACCTTCCGGACGAGAGTCAACACTGAGCTGGTCAAGGTGCATCACGAGAGGCACTTGACCTGAATGACCAGATGGCGCAGTATGTCTGGCCCTCAGTGCTGGAGGAACGAAAAGCGAAGTCTCCCTCCCAGCAGCATCTTCCCAGTCACGCCGAATGTACCTGCTGTGATCTGTTAGGTTTTCACTCATTGATGCTGCAGTTCGCGAAGTACTTCATCTTTTACGTTCCTTGCGCGAGATCTGAACAGATGGACAACATGACTTTCCCCTCTCTTTCCTTCCAAAAAGGTTCCAACACACAGCATAGATTTTATTTCTTCCTGTTTCCAACACATCACTTCTAATCATAACTTAAAATACTCGTAAACGAGTGATTCCTCACATCGCCTTCTAAAGAATAATAACGGAGCTACCCGGCACAACTCAAAGGACCCGATCTATCATCTCCTTGTTATGAGCATTGTTCTGCTCTGCCACCCTGGGATACAAGAATTCATCAATGGGTTGAACGTTCCTAACTTGTAAACTGTCCCCGGACTTTCTCATTTGATTTTGATCGCCGTCAACAATCCGTGACTGTTGACATTCCATATGAACTTGCATTTCTCGTATCATCGCGTTCAAACGTTCTCTCGGAGAAGTTTCTTGGAGAAGGTTCGAGCTCTTGAGCTTGACAGGCGAGCTGTGCTTGATGTCTCGATGAGACGCCTCTGAGGTATCAACTCCAACTGTGTGAAACTCCCTGGGCGCGATATGAGTTGGAACAAACGCCCTCCTGTTCGGGATGTTCACTTTCTTCAGTCCATCTGGAAGCCTCAGTTGTGCATGAGGGTGTTTACCTATCACCGTCTTGTCTCTCTGTCTCCCGCCATCTTCCGCTTCTCTTGACCCATCGCGCTCCTCACACTTGCATGCTGCTGCACCCATGGCCCAAAGTCAACTACACCTCACCCCCACCCCCAAATGGAACAATCCCTGTACCCCCACCCCTCTTGGGATGAGATAAGGCCCGTTCAATCATATCGTTTCAACTCTTCAACTGCCATGACCCACCCCCACCTCCTCCACATTCTCACTCAGTGGGAGCCTACGAAAGTACCGGTTCTTCGAATGTCAACGGGAGTACCCCACCCCAGGCTGGTTTGACCGATATACCACCACCCCACCCCTTTAGAGGCTTCTCCGAGGCTCAACAGATGAGTGTTGACTGGCTTTGCTGTTCGGCCGGTTATGACTCCTCGTCAGGCGGGCCCGGCGGGGCCCGGGGAGTCGATACGCCGCGCCGTACCGTACCCGGACTCGGAAGTCCGAACTTCGGTCCGGGCCGGGCCGTTAGTTGCTGCCAGAGCCCCCCCCCCTGAGGGCGGGACCGGGCCGCGCCCCGCGCCAACCGTGACCGTCACGGCCCGCGTGACGCCAAACTTGAAACCATAAAGCCTCCGTGAATTGAACAGTGTACACCAATGTAATTTACAAATGATATTGTTATCGATGATGCATGGATTACATGTTAGAATTCTTTCTTCTTGCCTGTTCCAGCATTCCAGGTATGGCATGGCAGCTTTGTGGCAATTCCTCGCTTCTGTACAATGGTAAATCTGTTTCAAGTCTCTAAAGCACAACCCACACACCTCGACAAGGCCTGCTTCCTTCACCTTGAGGTATTTCTCGACCTTTCTTCTGATCTGACCTGGCGTATGCTGCAAGGAACAAGCAGTCAACCCGCATGACGCAAGCACAGTATTCAGCTCATCCACCTGAAATCGATTCAACTTCCTGTCCTTGGCCATCCTCTCGTAATCGTTTCCATACTTCTTTTGAAGCGCTTCAACGAACTCCTGTCCATCAAACAGTGAACGAGGCAGAAAGCACTTGCTGCGCTAGGACCTGGTCTCCTTCAAACATGAATAGGCGAGAAGGTGCAGCATTCTCAACCCTGGCTCGCATCTCCTGTAACAGCTTTCAGTCAAAGTACGCCACCATGATCTAGCAGATCAATCATTCAATCTTGCCTCATCTATAGCGTCTCTTTCCTCTCGGTACTTGCTGTCTGCTGGAAGCTCTTCTTTCAAAGGAAGGCCAGCTTCTGCAATCTATTGATTCGTGATCGTGAATGAAAGAGGAAGCACATCAACACATTCCTGTACCTGAATTTGACCACTGCTGAGTGACAACGATGATGACTTTTTCCCTCTTATCAACCCCTCACGAGTCGAGAGACATGTCGCAATCTGACGACGAAGTGTCTTGTTTAGCACCCTAAAATTTTCCCAGTGTGTTGAAGCAATACTTACCGATGCGTCGCTGTTCAGCTCCGCTGCCAAGCCCATCTTCTCATAGTTTGATCTGACTGTGTCTTTGCCCTTCCAGACACTGCATCGCATAGTCAAAGCTTCAGAAACAACTAAGATAAAAGACATGTCCGAGGGAATCGTCCAGAGAGTGTTGGAAACAGGGAAGACAAATACACGTGTGAAGATGAGATGAACCGATGGTGTAGTCACCTGACAGCTTTTGGAAGAATCTTACTGATGGGCTTGAGAGGGTTTCTCTTCTGCTTCTGAGTCACTACATGCGCCTTCGCCTTCTTCACCGCTCCTCGCGATCGCGCCATGGCTTCCGCACGTGCTCAGATCCCCTCGTCCCCACTCATACCGGGGTATTTCGGTACCCCACCCTCATTTTTTCAGGGAAAGGTACCCCTGGATGAGTTTGACTCATCGCCCTCATCATCTACAAACTGAGGGCAGGTCATGCAGCAAGTTTGCGGCAAGGGAGAGAATGGAGGACAAGTTTGAGAATGAAGCAAGGAGAGGAGAGGGGAACCAGACGAGGAGAGGAGTGACAGGCGTGGGAGGAGAGTTGAGGAGGGGATGTGGCAGGAACGAAGACAGCAAGGGAAATCTGATGGAGGGAGATAAAAGAGGGAAATCGTAGCATTGTGAGTTCATTAGCATTCACATAAGAAGATGAAAACTTGAGCTGAAGTAACAGATGCTTTGCTGCAACCTGACATGAGGAAGAAATACCATGTTCACGATGCTTGATCTGAGAACGGTTGTGACCGCGCAGAGATGAAAGGAATGGACAGAGCTGCTTGGTACAAGGCATTTCAGCCTCCTCCAGCTAAGGTGAAACCAAGATGGATCAGTTTACATGTGCTCACGCTACGCATGTCAGTTGAAACAGACCGAGAACAAGGGAATCGGGTTAGAGGCATCACAACAGGTCAGTTGAGCGTCTCAGCAGAGTTGTGTGCTTGTGGTCTCAAGAAATGTTGTAGATCAACAAGGATGAAATCATCTTTACGGAAGTCCCGATAGCCGCTTTCACAACTTCGACATTACAGCATTGCCATCATTGCTGCAAGTATGAGATGATTTCGCTTGCCTGCGTTCGGCAAATGAATCGTGTCATGTGCTCAAGTCTTCCTGTTGTATGCATGTCTACCAAGCTCTACTTCTTCTATCACTGATGGTTCGAACCATGCAGATCGCTTGCATCCTGGCCTGAGGATGTTGAGCTTCCGTTGGTGAACGAGCTGTGGCCGGACAAGGCGCTTGTCCCGTGCGAGTGCGGGTTCGTGGGGTTCTGCTCCCCTGCTTGCAGGAAGGCAGCGCACGAGTTGTATCATGCCGTCTGCTGCCCCGCGCGATGCGACGACCAGGAGCGTCGGGACCATCTCGTCGCTCTCATCCGCGCGTGTGGACCTGACTCTTGCTCGATGAGTTCGGTGGAAGGAAAAGGAGAGGTGGGTGCCCTCGAGGAGTTTCCAGGCCTTGTCGTCAAGATCGTCAGCTCCATCCTTGAAACAGCCAGACGGGGGCAAAGGAAGAGCCCGGGAAGCTGCATTAAGAAGGAGCTTGACGACGCGTATCATGATGTGAGCCCACCTCTGAGCCTTATCTCGCGCTCTTGACCTCACTCAAGCTTCTCGCTCATGCCGTCGCGGCTCCTCATTCTGTCCTGCCCGATGTCGACTACGAGCACTTCACTTCAACTCTGCACAAGGTAAGATATCTTGCTCGTGGTGAGGATGACAAAGCTTCAAGGCGCTCGGTATGGGGCAGGACGAATGCTGCTGGCTCGAGAGCAAGAAGACCATGACAATCTTTGCGATTCTCTGTGCGAATGCGTGAGCTGATATTGGATAAGGAAGAGGACGAATGTGACGTGCTGGCAGCACGCGTGTGCGTCAAATCTCTCAGTTCGAGCTGTACATGCGCAACCTTAGGAACCAGGTTAGGAGAGAGGTATCCTTCTCCTGTTGCTTCCTCGTCTCAGTCGCTACAAGCGACGTCTTGCTCTTCTCCACAAGGTGCAGTCGGCATGTGCGCAAGTTGCGGGTATGGAGATGATCCCGGTAACAAGGAAAGTATAGAAAGAGTGTGACGTGAAAATACAAGGCGAACAAGATCGACGAAATCATGAAAGGAATCTTTGGGGCAAGTGATGAAGCAGACTGGACAAGGATTGACAGGCAAATCAGGTTCAGTCAGCTTGCTTGTTTCGTCTGCAGAGCAAGATCAACCATGACTGTGACCCCAACTGCCACGTTGTCTGCTCCTTCCCCTGCTCCAATATCGGCAAGCACGCCATGCTCCCTTGATGAGCGTGAGGATTTCGCAGATGTTGTCGCCAAGAGGTCGATCGCCCGGGGGGAGGAGCTGAGCATCAGCTACGTGGACCCTTCTAGAGCAGCATCGGAGAGGAAAAGGTCGATAGCCAATATGCATGGCTTCACTTGCACCTGCAGACGATGCGAGGTCAACGCCAGGTGGTGCAGGTGAGAGGAGGAGTCGCGATGATGTCTCGCTCGTTTGACTTGTTTGCTAGAAATACACGAGAGTGGATACAAGCACATCCTCTCCCACCTTCTCCGGATACTTCCCATAAGGTTCGACCATTGTCCTTTCTTCCGCCCCGTCCTTCCCTGACCCTCGTCCATGTTCTCGCTCCCCTCCCCCTCAAACTCGCCCTGATCGCATGCAGATGGATCACGACACCTGCACAAGCTGCACATCCTTCGATGGGGAGGAAGAAGCGCTAGACGACTTCTTTGATGCCTTTGCGTGATTGTGCTGAGACATCAGAACTCCATGTTCTCAAACTTCCACCCTGATGTGTTGTGTGTCCACGGTTCAAGAGTTCCACGCACGAGAGGAAGCGCCTGTCCAAGACGATATGAGACCAGAAACTTCAAACCTCTCCTCCCTTTCTCTCCCTCCCCTCCTCATCTCCTCCTCCTACATTGGATCTTTCGCCGTCATACATTCGCCCATGAGTGAAGAATCCTCCTGCACAGGATGTCAGAGATCTTGTCTTCACAGCCATTCATCACCAGGATTCAGCTGAGGATAGACTAGATGTCGCTGGCGATGAACGCTCCTGGGGTCCGGAGATTTACAATCCGAGAAACCTGAAAGAGCGTCAAGACCATCAAGGTTCCAAGAGGCTGCATGACTGGCTCCGTCTTCGTATTCCAACACGTTGCACTCCCAGTGTGTCCTCCCTGTGCGTCGTTGCATAGCTATGGGCAGGGCAGAGTGATGAAGCGTCGAATGCCTGCCGCATGGTCAGCAACGGTGGAAAGGAAACAACGAACAAGAAATCTTTCGACTTCATGCTCGCTCACCAACCCATGCTCATCCTCTACTTTTCACATCCTCCACTCTCTCCCCATCCCTCCCAATGTATCCTCACCATGCCGCTGCGGCTGCCCCGAACATGACGGAATTAGCGGTGCTGAACTTTGGGAAGTTTGAATCACAAGTTGACATGCAAAGTTTTGCCACAAACTTCCATGCCTAGTTCTATCGCCTCCTCCCTCCCTCCCTCCCTCCCTCCCTCCCTCCCTCCCTCCCTCCCTCCCTCCCTCCCCTACATACATTCATACACATACACACACACACACACACACACACACACATGCACAAGCACACATATATTGTTACGCATGAATAGATACATAGTTGCATGCATGCATGCATGCATGCATGCAATCCCTTGCCTGCTTGTCTTGTCTCCCTCTTCCATCATTTCCATTTTCATCTCGCATTCATCTTCACGTCATGTCTCACCTGCTTTGGTGTGTTCTCACTCGCTTGTTTCAGAGAACATGAATGCATTGGTCACAGGAGGCGCGTCAGGTCAGCGGGCATCAGCGGCAGGCGAGGAATGAGGTCTGCTTCCCAGGCATCGGAGCAGCTCTAAGCTTGGAGCTTGCACGCCGAGGTAACGTCTGAGTTGTTGAGCTTGTCTGAAGGACCCGGGGGTGCTCAGGAGTGGCCGTCACAGTGGTTGGTCGAGACCCAGCCAAACTCAACTCGTTGAAGGAGGCTGCTGTGAGTTGAGGTGTGGGTCACGTGACCTCTGATCGCTTGTCCTCAAGGAGAAGCAGTCGTCGTTGCAAGCAGGGAGAGTCACGATCGTGCAGGAACAAACGAAGCTGCTCCTCTGCTGCATCCACGTGCTGATAAGTTTGACACAGTCAGACATCGCGACTTCCCAAGGAAGGAGACAAGTGGTGGAGTTGCTGAAAGGCGAGGCCTCCTTGTCCTTTCTTGTCAACAATGCAGCTGTTGGCACTCCAGACCGGTGAAAACCTCAGCAGTAGCTGCTTTGACTGCTCTCGTTGCTTTACCTGACTTTTTTAAGGCTTCAAGATATCACTTTACAAGACTTCGAGGAGGTGCAGGACATGAAAGCTGCCGCTCCTCTGATTGACTGACAGGCTATGGCTGTGAATGTCACTGTGAGTCTCCTCCGCCTCCTCCGCAGGTCGCTCTTCCTCTCTGACCAGCCTGAGAGAAGGCGCCGCTGTTTCTGTCGCAGCAGCTGCTTCCTCTCTTAGAGAAGGCCAAGGTGAGGATGACGGGACGATGACCCTGAGTGATAGAGTCGCAGGGAGGAGGAAGAATCTTGAACGTGGGGTCAGGGATCGCTGATCGGTGAGGAGCGACCGGAGGAGACTGCTTTGTATTCACCAGCGGCGACAAGGGTGCAACTCGGCACAGGAACGTACGGCATCACGAAGAAAGCTCTACATCGGTTAGACATGTTCTCCTCCTCCTCTCTAACATGGGTTGCCTCAGGTTGTCATTGCAAATGACTGAGGACCTGGCAGGAAGAAATGTTCATGTCGCCTACGTTCGGTGAGACGTTGAGCAAGAAATTTGCCCATCCTAGAACTGAAGCGAAGAGGGGCGGGGGAGGAGAGGACACGGGAAGAGAGGGCAGGGCTCAAGTTCATATTTTCATCTCGTAGTTTGGGGACGGTCGACACTCCAGGTCTCCGGGAACACATCGCTGTTGCAACAGCCAAGCAACTTCCTCATGCAGGTGTCCTCAAGCTGAATGATGATAATGACGATCATGATCATGATCATGATGCTTGACTTGCAGACTGGCTGCAGTCGACGATAGAACAAGGCAGAGCAGCCAGTGAGGAACTCCTCTTCCCCCTTCCTCCTCACCATTCCCCAGTCGCTGTCCCTTCAAGCCCCGATCTATTCTTCGTCGTCGTCCTTCACTGCTTCCTTGCTTCACTGCTTCCTTCGCTTCCTTTGCTTCGTCATCCTCACCATCATCGGTGTCATTCTACCTCTCCTCCTCTTCCCTTCTCTTCCCTCCTGCACCACATAAGCCAGCCAACCATTTGTCTTCTCGTTTCTCCCTTTGTTTTGTCGCCTCGCTGCTCATTTCTCGCCTTCTCCACGTCATCTGCCAATGTTGTCGCATCCTTGTCACCCTTCAGCCTTCAGGTGCTCATGAGATTGGGCGCAGCCTGGCTGACTTGCTACTTGAGGAGTCAAACGAGACGTTTGCGAAGGTGAGATGATCAGGAATGTGCGTTGTGACATAATGGAACAGGAAGTGACAGTCAGGCGAAGTGAAGCAAGGAGAGATGGACAAGATTAACACATCGTCAGATAGGAGACCAAAGAAAACATCAAGTATTCATTCATTCATTCATTCATTTATCCTATTCATGCATTCAACCATTGCATCCTCCCTCCCTCCCTCCCTCCCTCCCTCCTTCGATCCCTCTTAAATCCTCTTCAAGAGGTTGCGCCGTATTAGTGTAGAAGGTCAGCGAGCATGAGCTTCAATCAATGTACATTGCTCATTGATCACATATCTGAGATATCGAGATGCGGCGCTCGTTTGAAGGAGCTTGTTTGCCTTCTCCATCAAACTTTCCCTCTACGAGTTGTGAGGTCAGACTGACCAGCTTCTCCAGCATCGTCAAATCCGACGAGGCTGGCACTGCTGCTCTTGCGTTCTCTGCTTCCATTGCTTGCGTGCGTGCCTTCTCTGCCTCATCGCTTGCAGACCAGTCGGCCTCACTCGCCTGCAGCAACAACTCCAACCGGCTGAAGGATGTTGGCGGCTTCTGAGGGTCTTGCACAACTTGATTTGTGTCTCCATTGATGATCGCCAGGCTCGAGTCTATGCACTTAATGCTATCGCCATGGCTGACGCAGTTGCGGCATGGCCGCTCCATGTCGCACTTGAGCTTCGATCGTCTACATCGCTCACAGCTTGAGGGAACTCGTCGACCGACTGGACGAGCAGAAACCACATGAGCCTGGAAGCCCTCCAAGCTCCCGAGGCCTTGTGAGCAGGCTCGAATCATCACCGGGCCTTCTTTGACACAGCGAGAGCACGGGCGGACATCATCGCACTTCACCTTGGATCGCTTGCAGGGAACGCAGGCTTGAGCAACTTGAACTCTCCTGCGGTTGAGGTGCGACTCATTGAACGGAAGGAACTTGTTCTCCCCGATAGCGAAGGCTTCACCTTTGACATGCCCCCCCTTGACCTTCTGGTTGTCATCCTCGATGACGTCCGCAGAGAGCATCGGCCCTGAGCACATTGTTCCCTTGCGAACACAGCGAGAGCAAGGCCGCGTGTCCTCACATTTGAGCTTCTTCCTTCGGCAGGGTTCACACGCCCTCGACACCTGATGTCGCTTGGCAGGGGCCACTTCACTCGGACCTCCCGCCTTCTCCTCTACTCTGCCTCCCATTTGGATTTGCCTCGCTCTTCCTTCACTCGCGACATCTGCCTGCTCACCGACAGTGACGCCGTCAGGTGCGTCTGCATCGAGAGATCGCAGGTCCTCCCGCCAGCTCACGCACACAGAGTGAGCGAGCAGGTAACCCCAGTGCCTGATGCACCTCCGGCACGGCTTCTCTTCATCACACTTCAACTTGACATGGCGGCAAGGGATGCATGCTCCATTCCTCACCTTCCTTCTTCGCGAGAGACTGCTCATAGCAAACGTAGTGCTCCCAGCAACCATCTCGGCTGCGTTCTGCATAGCAATGTCCACAAACATGAAATGGAAGGTGCTCTTGCGGCAAGTCTCAAGAAGTAGTTCCAGCAAGACAAGACTTCCTCTGCCTGGTGCCTCCACTCAAATCGACCTGGACGTGACCACAACGAGTTAGAGACTGCAGATCAATATCGACTTAGATATCTTCGACATACCAAAATCATCGATACGTCTAAAACACACTTTCACTCAGTGGCTTGTACATCAGGCTATGTGATGAGTCGAGAGATCGTTAGGATCCTCTCTGATGCCTTGTGTCTGAATACTTATCGATCCATCGATTCATCTCTGTACTACTCTTCTGACTCGTGCCGTTCCGCTTGTTTTCAGCAGTTAACCGAACAAACATCTAATTACACACGTGAAACTCTTACGGATACCCTGTGGGCTACTCGCATGTAAACAGGCACGTGATGCACCCCTGAAAGCTGAAAACATATCACTCTCATGTCTCTGAAATCATCTACTCCATTCACAAAGGCAGTTGTCTATCTACACCTTCCTTGCTGTAACTGTCTTCCATGCTGGTCTATAATGGACAAGATATGCGCCACAAGATCTCTGTGCAGGACCTTCTCCTTAGATGCTTATGCGCATTTCAGTGTGGGATCTGCTGTCAGGTCCTGCCCCCTCCTCCCCTCCATCGCCTCGCCCTCGCCTCCTCCATGCGACGACTCGGGAAGCCTCCGTTCTCGGAGCCACGTCGTGCGCCATTGAGATTCTCGGAGGTCTGCGAGGGGTGGTATGTTTCCGAATCCCAGGTGGGGTAGATTTCACAGTAAGAAACACGGGGGTGGGGTACGGAAGTGGTATGATAGGGGGTAGTTTTATATGAGGTCGGATGGGATCTAGCGGGGTAGGTGATGAATACCAGGGCGACGGTCAAGTTGATATGGGTGAAGAAGGGGTGGGGTGGTAGTCCGACGGGGTCCACAAGTCCGAAATTTCGGATCGGAGGTTGCTGGGATGCGTTGGGGAAGAGGGGGTGGGGTAGCAGGTTATGTGAGATTGGGGTATAGGAAGCCTACAACGATGCTAGGGTTCTGGTCTTATGGGTGTACCAAAATCGTATGAGTGAAGGGAAAAGAAGGGGTAGGGGCTGCATAGTCACCCCAGAAGTGACGGAACGTGGGGGTAGGTCTAGCACGAGTCTAGAGCTGTTGAGTACCGGTGGTTTTCAAGTATGAATGGGGGGTAGTATTTGGTTGAAAGTAGATTGGGTATAGGTAGTAGGGGTACGATATAGGCTACCCAGGACTACAATTACAGGGGTAGGTGTCCTAGGGGTCCTAGGGGTTATTTGTCCACCTACATCATAAACTTCCGTCCTTCGGCTCTTTTGACAAAATTTGATGAATTTTGATACACGATCAAAAGTTTTCTTTTCATTTGAAAATTAAGAATAATATTTGGTACATGAAATACTCAAATATTGAAACTTTGTTGATTTCGAAACCGCAGTATTTCGAGCGAAATGAACAAGGGTACGGTACCCCCTCTTTCCCATTCAATGACATGGGTAGGGTCATGCTTAGGGTCAGCCCATATCTGTACTGAGTGACTTCACCTCCGAGGCCCCGAACGTCCGGCTAGGCGTGTCCTCGTACTGATTTTTAACTTAACTTTGAGTAAAGCTGGCTTACTAGTGCCCGGCCCCTCAGCCAGTGACTCGGCGCCCGTGACCCGGTCACCCCCCCGGCCCGGTCCGGACGGTCCGATCACCCCAGTACTGTAGTCACTAGTCACCCGGCGGCCGTCCGAATGTAATCTGAGTAGTAATTCAATGTTGTGAACTTAGTGAAGGCTTGGAACTTGAAGAAGTCACCAATGAACTGATTGGGAAGCTGGCGGCGTCAGAACGCTCAGGCTGCTATTTCCTTCGATTTCTCTTCCTCAAAGTCGGATTGCTCTGTCTCCTGCCATTGTTCCTCTCAGGCTCGTCATTCATGTTCATCAGGGCCGAGTTGATATCTGGCAGTTGTACGTCAGCTTCTCTCCTTCACCCCCATCCCAGCTCCCCTCGCTCCCTCGCTCCCTCGCTCCCTCGCTCCCTCGCTCCCTACCTACCTACCTACCTCCGTCCCCCATCTCCGTCCTTCCCTCCCTCTACTCTCGTACTCAGGCTCGCTTTATCAGTCATTGTGCTCACCCTGCAGAGAAACATTGCGTCCAGCGACGTCGTAGCTTGCTGAGTGGAGAGGGGAAATGAGAGAGGGAAAGCAAGAGAAAAGACTTACAATACTCGGGTGAAGAAGATTCCAATGTCGATGTTTCCTCCTCTCGCTCGACCCTCGGTGTCTGCATGCCCCGCTGCACTCGCTCGCGTGAGCAATCCGAACCCAGAAGGCGAACAGGCTGACCTTGGGTTCGGATCGTCTTGGAGCATCAGATGACTGAGTCTCACCCACCTCCTCCTCTTTCCGTGTGCTGTTGATGTAGCTCTCCACCTCTGCCTGTCGCTGAGCTGTCACTCATGCGAGCAGAGAGTGATTGAACAACCCCATCTTTGAACCTCAAGAATGCGTGAGGTCGATTCCTGTTCATCCATGGTTTTCCGCTCTTCAAAGTCAGCAGAATGCGACAACGGTGTCAGCTAGATACAAACAGATGCAATGATACACACAATTTCACAATCTTGAAGCTCCAAGGCACTCGTTGGCATGCAAGCAGACGCGCTGAATAGGGAGAACTCTCCACACCTTGCAAAGCGACTGATAGTCATCCTAAGAGATGAAAGAAGTGTTAGCAACACCTGACAAGACACTTGGACGCGATAATCTTTCCCTTTCGCGAGAGGTGAAGCGAGACGTCGTTGTTATGCAGGCTGCACTGCTCCAAGCGAATCTTTCACGTCGAGTTGTCAATTTGCGAGAAGGTGAAGAAGAGAGCAAGAACCTCTGACGAACCGGTTGCCCTCACTCCTCCTTCAATGACAACCTCGTCGAGCAGTTGAGGATAAGCGAGTGGGTCTACCCGCTTGTCGTCTTGGATGAGGATGATAGACCCCTTACAAGCTCGTCAACGAAGAATTTCATGTACTGCACCTTTACATCGAGCTTTCTTAGAGGTCGTTCTGAGATTTCTCCGGTATTCTCCAGGCGACAACGAAAGAGGAACGCTTTGCTTCTGTTTCAGGGTGAAAGGGGTTAGCACGAGACTGAACTTTCTCACTGGTCGTCCGCTATTAGTGCGCTGATGGCAAAGTAGTCGTCATCCTGTGGAATGTGAGGACTGGACAAACTACGGTCAGTGAGATAGGTCGAACCTCCTTCATTCCTCCCATGTTGCAAGCAAGAAACTTCATGTCAGATTTTTCGAACATGGCAAACACCAGGCAACGGATTCCTCGGATCTCACAATCCTGCGACAGAGGACGCGATCAGGAGCGCATGCAAACACTACGCGTGTCTCAGATAAAGACCTCAAAGATCCATGCCGAAGAGAAACTAGCCATGCACGAGAAGCGGAGACTCAATCCTTCCTAACCCACCACTGAACAACTGCTCCAAGCACGTCACCCGTCACACCTGCGCCTTGTATCCGAGTGAGAGCGTCTGAAAGAGCCCGCCTGACATCTTCTTGAGGCTCCAAGGGCCGATGACGAACGTGTCTTCCTCGCCCGTCACATACAGTCGATGGTCGACCATAGCAATGTTGTGGAACGAGTAGCTGAAAGGGAATCAGCCGGGTAGGTTTGTGACAGTCAGAGGTTCAGTTGACCTGCCATTCTGAATGTGAAGCTTGTCGCCATTCCCTGTTTGGGTCAGACCCTCGTTGATGCTGTCAAAGTCTCCGGGAATGAAGATCTCCCTTCCCGCGAACGCGTATGACCCACCAGACGTGTCGACATCGCGATGTGACCTGAGGGTCGAGGAGACGCCTCCTCCTCCACTTTCCATGCCTGTTGCTGGACCTACCGCTGTGATAGGGTTCGTCTTACCTTTTGGGGGCTTACTAGACTTGTGAGATCTAGTCCGCTTCAACGAAGCTGATGCAGACGCAGTAGAAGGTACAGGGATTGCCAGCAACACAAGGGATGCGAGCAAGGAATTGAACATCAACATATCTCGATTTCTCATGTACATATTTGCTTCCAACTTCTTACAGCAGTATGTCTTCTCCGTTCACTGTGATTCATTGCACTTGATCCTATTCCACGAGCTCTCGGATCCGCGGAATTCCATCCGACTGAAACTTGTGTGATGATATCAAGATGAAGAAAGAGAGTTTTCACTTCATTCCTCTCGAAGTTTCCTTTCTCATCTCCTTCCCGTTCTCCTCTCTCAGTCTCCCTTGTCTTCTCCCTCTCCCGCATTGCGCCAGGTCGCAAGTCCAAGCATGGAGCCCCGGAGTTTCTGTCCAGACCCCCAGTGCAGGCTGGCCTCAGAGCCGTCGCCCAACGCCGTCTTGTACCTGGGCGGGCCCGGGCTCGACCATCATCCGGGGAGTCCCGGATGATGATCCGGGCCGGGCCGAGTCACAGAGTCACGGTACTAGCCTAGGTGACCTGGTCGCGGGGGGGCCCGGGCCGCCGGGCCCGGCGGGCGTCGGTCATCACTGTCACTACCCGCCGTGACCAGTAGTAGTGAGTCCGACACTCGGACTCCCGGGGGCCGCGGCCCGGGAACTTAATGGAGGTCACCACTTCTCAACGGTTGAACGGGGTGACCGGGTGTCAAGTTATGGACACTGATGTTTCAAGGGAGTCATTGTAAGCTGGGTGAAGGATCAACTGTAACTTCATTAGGCACAATCACAGTGATTGTACACTGAGACGCAGTTCAAATTACTGCGATATGATAAAAGAATAAGATCAGGAGAGGCACGACGGGAGGAGCAAGCCGAACTCAGTCGGATAAAGAGGAAATCGAAGAGAAGGTTTAAGAGCACAAGTGAAAAGGAAAAGGAGGAATAAGAGGACGGGAGGAAGGAGGATAATCAATAACAAGATAACAAATAGTTGCTGGAGCCCCAGCAGCAGCACAGGAACAGGAGGAGGAGGAGCAGCAACAGCAGCCCAAGTAGCCCCAGTGACAGCCCCAGCAGGCAGCAGCACGCTGGACGGTAGCAGCAGCCCCAGCAGCACCATGAACAGCAGCAGCAGAAGCAGTAGCCCTAGCAGCACCAGCACCAGCAAAGAGCACCAGCACTATGAGCAGCAGCAACAGTAGCAGGCAGTGCAGGCAGCAGCAGAGGCAGCAGAAGCAGGAGCACCAGCGGCAGCAGGAGGAAAAGAAAGAGGAGGAGAAGGAGCAGCACCAGCAGGAGGCAGCACCAGCACCACCAGCAGCAGCAGCACCAGCACCAGCACCAGCACCAGCAGGCGGCGGTAGCAGCGGCGGCGGCGGCAGCAGCAGCACCAGCAGGAGGCAGCACCAGCAGGAGGCAGCAGCACCAGCACCAGCACCAGCACCAGCACCAGCACCAGCAGCCCCAGCAGCTCCAGCTCCAGCTCCAGCACCGTGAGCAGCAGCACCAGCACCAGCACCACCAGCCACCAGCAGCAGCAGGCAGCAGCAGCAGCAGCAGCAGCACCACCACCACCACCACCACCACCACCAGCCACCAGCAGCAGCAGGCAGCAGCAGCAGCAGCAGCAGCACCACCACCACCACCACCACCACCACCACCAGCACTAGCACCAGCACCAGCACCAGCACCAGCACCAGCACCAGCAGCAGCACCACCAGCACCAGCAGCAGCCCCAGCCCCAGCAGCCCCAGCCCCAGCAGCAGCAGCAGCAGCATGTGGGTTGGGGCGGGGAAGAAATAAAAAGGGAGAGTTTGCTGCGCCTCCGGTGGTAGGCCCTTGCATGGCGTCCTTGTCTGTGCATGAGCGGCGCATGGCGGAGGCGCTGGGAATCGAAGAGGAAGGCTACCTGTGGATCGCTCAGGAGGCTGCCGACGCTCAACTGCCGGGAGGATGGCAGGAGCTGGTCGACGAGGCTGGGAACGTGTTCTACTATGAGCAAGGATCAGGGCAGACTAGCCGAGAGCACCCGAGCATGCGCTACTACAAGAAGCTGTACGACGAGTTCAAAGCGAAAGATGAAGAGCTGGCCATGCTGCAGGTGGAGAAGAAGGAGAAGGAGAAGGGTAGAAGAAAGAGCAACGAGGTAGACGAGACCTCCAAGCTGCTTCTATCCTTTTCTGGCGATGCTGCTATCAGCTCCAAGTACCGGGAGGATGTGAAAGAGCTCGAACTATCAGCCTTGTCCGCCATCGACAAGGAGATGGAAAACGAGGAGCAACGATTTGCTCAGAAGCTTCAAACTTTCCTCCAAAAAAGAGACGTGAACACAGAGATGTCAAAGTCTGTTGCATCCACCATCTCAAGGGTGAACGATCAGAACACAGAACAGATCAAGAAAGCGTTGGAAGACTTGACTCATCAGATTCTTGCTTCCAACCGAGACATCAAAGGTCTTCTGCAGAGACAAGACAGTGAAAGTAACGAATGCGAGAAATGCAAAGAGCTATGCGAGCAGCTGCTGGCAACCAAGAGAGCGCTAGAGGAGACGACGGAAGCCAACGAGGAGCTGAGGATGAGGATGAGAGAGAAGGAGATGCAAGTCCGAGCCCTCGAGAAGAAGATGCAGCAGCGAGAGCTGCCAGCTGCGAGCCAAGACAAGAGGGAGGAGGCGAGTCAGCAAGATTCTAAACCTGGTGACGCTACGTGAATGCAGCAAGAGCGCCTAAGCCTTCACCTTCAGGTGCTCTGGTGCCACAGGCGGTACCCCCTCTTCCACCCGACAAAGACGAGAGACAGGGGGTACTTCTTGCTCCTTGTAGTGCCAAGTTCTGACGTGATGCCTCTCTCAAGATCGAGACCTCCATGGTCTCTTCCGCGAGCAGTTTCAACGTGAAGCAGGTGGAGGAAGATAGACGCGTGGAGGTGCTGCAGGCCGAGCTAGCGGCTCTCAGGGAAAAGAGTGACAAGGTGGAGAAGCTGGAGCGAGAGGTCGCCATGGCCCACCACCATGTGACGCACTTGGAGTTTCTCGCCCAAGAGTATGTCGACAAGCTGAACCAAGTGACGCGGGTGAACGAGCGACTCAAAGTCGAGCTAGAAGCCAAGGGGAGAGGTTTGCAAACAGACAACGCAGAGAAGAAAACAAGCGCGATCAAGAACAAGACTGAGAGACTGCTGCTGAGAGCGGTGAGAGAGGAAGCTTGCTTAGTCCTCGTGTGACGGTGATGTCAAGAGCAAAGGAGGAAGCGTCAAGAACATCAGGAAGAGCACGGAAGAGCTGAAGCAAGCTTCGAAGCTGCTGCTTTCTGACTATAAAGCGTACTCGGAAGGAATATTTATGCCGCTGATCAGAGACTTGCAGCGCGCTACCATGCTCATGGCCTCCACCTTGTCTAGAACCTCAGCAGAGCTGAGGGACGGGGAGCGATCGCTGTCGGTTGCTATCACTGCCCAGAGACTGCTGCAGCATCGGTTGGACGCGCTGACCTTCGCCTCCTTCCACTCCTTCGCCGTCGTTGGGGCCGAGAAGGAAGCGTCGCTGTTCCGACGCCTGGAGTCAGGGCAGCAGCTGATGATGAAGCTGAGGGAGGGGTTCGAGAACAGGCGCGGCATGCTCGAGGTGTTTGACTTCGACAGAGTGATGGGGCCCGAGATCTCCGATGAAGACATCTTCCACCAGCTCCTCCCCCACATGTCTAGAATCCTCCTCTGGAAGTCTTGTTGCCTCATCATTCACGGGGGACGCAACAGCGGGAAACAAAAGTTTGCGACCGGCATGGCAGCAGAGGCGTCGAGGAGGAAGCAGCAGGCAAGTGAGTCGGGGCTCTTTCCGCTGGTGGTCAGGTACATGCACGACCTCTACATGGACAAGCTCGCGGGTCTGCTGGAGTCAGGCAAAGCAGAGGAAGAGCAAGTGAAGCTGCTGGTCGATTTCTCTGAGGCAGACTTGTCTTTCTCAGCTGAGCATCCAGCTCTGATACTTTGGCAGGTGTACCAAGAGCAAGTCGTCAACTTCATCCCCGGCAAGGCCGCGGAGCCTCCCAACGCTCTGGAGTCGCTTGTGACCTTGAGCGACATGCTCAGAGAGCGCGGAAACAAATCGACAGACGATGCAAAGGAGCAGCCACAAGATCATGACGATGCCTCGAACAACGATGACGAGGAGCAGGAGGAGCAGGAGGAGCAGGAGGAGCAGGAGGAGCAGGAGGAGCAGGAGGAAAAGTTTGGACAAGAAATCGGCGAGCAGATTCAAAGTGTGCTAGAAAGCTTGCAAGAGGCACTCGACAAGTCAGCAGGGCGACTGAGGCTGGAGCAGGAGGAGCTGGACAGACGTGCGAGTGAGAAAGTCGCGCGAGCAAAGAGGCTGTCGAAGACAGGAAGCAGAACATCTGAGGGCGAGCTGGTGCAACACCCGCATAGGGTGCTGAGCATGACCTTGGTTCGCAAGTCTAAGGTAGACGGGACGAGAGAGATCGGCACTCTTAGGGTGGTGGTGCTGGGGAACGCAGCGGAGAGGGAGGATGTGGCATCGGAGGCGACGAGCTTCGTGGAGGAGCACGACCAGTCACTGGTCGCCGTCATGAAGTTTCTTGAGCGCAAGCACATCAAGCAGAGCGACCCGATGGCCTCGCTGGGAGACTCAGCGCTCTCACGCTTCATAGCGGACAGCTTGGTAAGAGATGCCAACCTGCTCCTCCTCACCTTCATCTCCAGCGACCCTTCCGACTTTGACGTCTCTGTCGCCGACTGCCGTTTCTCCTCCTACAAGTCTCGTCAGCGCCCCTCCACTGCTCAGCGCTTGGAGCGCGTCAAGTATCGCTGGCAGAATCAGTCGGTCGCATGGGCGCTGGCGCTGTGGAAGGGGTCGGTGAAGGACTCCCTGCAAGTGCAGCTAACGAACCAGGTGGAGAACCTGACGGAGGAGCTGGAGGCCCTGAAGAAGGAGAAGAACGACCTGCAGCGAAAGATGGAGGAGGTGGCGAGGAGAGGGGTTCACTACGAGCTCGAGGAAGGGAGAGGAGAGGAGGAGCACGATGCTCTCGAGGTCATCTCCCATGCGCATGAACCAGCAGGTGACAGCTGAGCAGGACCTGGAGGTGAAGGCGAGGAAGGTGGGAGGTCGGATAGCGGACGAGTTGTGAGTGCAAGAAGCTTTTGTTGATTTGCTGGTGACGTGGCCACAGGGCGATGGCGAAGAGGGAGCAAGAGCTCGCGGCGACCCACATTACGAGCGTGAGGTTGCGGATGATGCAGCAGCAGCACCAGGAGGCGATGAAACGGAACAGAAGCCTACAGCTGCTGCTGGAAGCGTCTCGGAGTCAAGCAAATGAGCTTCGGATGCCGCAGATGAAGACGATGAAAGAGAGGCGCAGGTAGGACGGGAGAAGGTAGGAGAAGGAAGGAACGACAAAAGCAGCAGCATTCTGACGTGAAAGTTCTTAAAGTTTCACGTGCTCTCATTTAAGAGAGGCTAGCATAGAGAGGCTAGACTGAGCGATCAGACACAAACAGCGTGAGGAGTGTTGGGTGCGCAACATTGTTCTGCAAAGAGAGGATGAGAGAGAACAGGAACAAGCTCAACTCTCACCCTCCTCGTCTTCTCTCGTGGCCAGACTCGCGAGGGACATGTCGCGCTGGTTCAGAGGCTCATGATCGACCTCGCTGTCGGTGTCAAACCTGCCGTTAATGGACGAATCTGATAAAAATGATGAGAGACGAGAGGGCAGACGAAGCTCATCGCTCACCTACGCCTGGTTCAAGATCGTCGCGCAATTCGGTTGCAATCTGTTGAGAGCCGAAGATTTCAGTGTCTTGTTGGCTTTGAAGCAACCAGGTCTCGAAGAGAGTCGGAGTTTCACCTGCGAAGCGATCAGATACAGTCACGGACAGAGAAACAGTCACGGTGAGGACAGCAACAAGATACAGGCAAAGAGTTAAGATCAAGGGAGATGTCTCACCAATTACACATTTCTCCAAGCAATGCTTCTTGTAGAGCTCTCGCTCAAGATAAAGATTCCCATGCATCCTCATCTTCATTCCCTTGCTCATGGCTGTCTGCTCGGCGTCTTTGAGCAGCTGACCCGTTCCTTTCTCACCAGCAAGCTCCATGAAAATCACATCGACCTGCATTATTCCCTCGTCAAATCTGACGCAGAGCACAGAGAGTCACAGCGAGGAGAACAAGGAGGACAAGGAAGAGTATACTAGCAGCTAAATGCGAGCAGAGCACGGAGGAGGAGGAGGAGGAGGAGGAGGTGGTGGTGGTGGTGGTGGTGGAGCAGAACCACCACCACCATCAGCAGAATACCTTAAAGTCTTCATCGAAGTGAACATGTTTCTTGTCACGAGCCGCTTGGTCAATCTCGTGTTTTGACAGGCTCAAGCACCAGCACTTGACATTTTCCTGCATACAGTGAGACGAGCGAGCATGGGAGGTAAAAGAGACTTGGACTTCAAGTTTAAGGCTCGCGCACTCGTCGGGGCTGAGTTGTCGAGCCTTGCCGGACATTTCAGAGGCAGGGCGGCTCATGAAGTGAGTGTGGATCCAGAAATGCATCATACTGGCCATGAGTGTCAGCAGGAGGAGAATGACGACAGGCAGACCGCCGATTCGAGAAGGTGTCTTGATCCCAAAACTCGAACTCAAGATCGCCGGCTACTCGCAGTCCTCCCTCGGGGAAACTATACTCCCATCGCTGCAAGGCGGTGGTGAGAGGAGAAAGGAGGAGTGAGAATTGTATCGGTGATCAGACCTTCACAGAAGGCTTCAGATGCTCGACCTTTCCCTTCTCTTTGGTCGAAAAAATCTTGTAGACCTCGTGGTCTCGCTCATTCACAACGAATACGTTGAAGGAAGGAGCACACCTGCTGCATGTCAAACGACTGCAGGCCTAGCAGTTTCCTCACCCTCCATCGCGAGAAAAGTGAGGGATTGAATTGAAGCGAAGCATCTTCAGCATCACTGCTGGGCTCTTCGTCTCCGTGTAGCTGTGAACCTCTCCTGCTTTGATTCGCCTCAGCTGCTCCTCGAAGTAGTGGACGTAGCGGATCTGAAACGCGAATTGTCATCATCGCCTCAGCTCAGGTTGTTCGCCTTGACTTCACCTGTGAGATGATGGTAAGCCCTTTCCCGTCATGAGTCCGAGTCGTGTCGTAGTAGATCCGCGCCATCCTTGCGCTCTACAGCCTCATGTCAGAATCAACCCTCCACTACCAGCGCTGCAACAATAGGAGGAGGAGCAACAGCAGCAGGAGCAGGAGCAGGAGCACTGGGAGCAGGAGCAGGAGCAGGAGCAGGAGCAGCCATAACAACATAGACAGGCAGTATCCCTCTCTCATCTCATCTCATGCCCCCGCACGGCAACAAGGACTCACTCTTGCCAGCCCTCCGAACATCAGGTAAGCGACAATTATGAGGCCGGTCCGTCCCTTCCCAGCCTTGCAGTGAACCGCCACCACGTTGTCTTGGTCGTCTTGGAGAAAGCGATGGATGTGCATGCAGCAAGGGAGGATCAGCTCCATTGGCGGGGGGTTGTGGTCTGGGAATGGATATCGTGCGACGCTGCCATGGAACAAGTCGAGGCGGTAAGCGCGTTCGGAGCATAAGTTGATGATGCGAAAGTGAGCGGAGTGACGCTGCTGGAAGAAACGGTAGACCTCGTCCGACGAATTGCGGTACGCGCCCTCCACTCCCTTAGACGGGAAGCCCATGGCGATGAGACGCGGTGTGATGTAGGTCAGGTCGAGGTCGAAATCGTCCTCTACAAACCGCCGCTTGTTCCCTGACACAGCATGCCTCGCTGTCCGTCGTAGGCGGTTGGCCAGCCCAGCGCCAGTGAGGAGGTGAGAGATCTCGATACCTTCCTTCTCGCTCCCTCGGTAGTGGCTCACAAGCCTCTTCGACTGAGCGTGGCTCGGCACGGTGCTGCCTGCGAATGCGAAGAGCCTGACGGTCTCGTGGCTGACCTTAGGATCGGAGGCGACACACAAGGAGTCGTCAAAAGGTGCGAGAGAGAATTCGTCCACCTTGAGCTTCGCATCTCCCAGGTTGTACTCTCCGTCTGTTCCTCCTTCTACAGTAATCGCGTTCAAGACACCAACCGCAGACGAAGCTGCTGTCCTGCCACGTTGTTTTAACGCGACTGCCTGCAGTTGCTGGCTGATCTTTCGAAGTTTTCTAACTGGCACAGGAAGCTCTCTGTCGTTGTGCTTGAACAAGATGGAGATCTTGAAGTCCGAGTCAAAGATGGCATTGCCTTTGTCTACACATGCCATGTCGAGAAAGTCTTTAGAAATCTCCAACTTCGAGCCAGGAGCGAAGGCTGTATGAAAGCAGGTGTAGAAGATGATCCGGTCAGTCTGGGATGCCTGATCTCTGTCGTAGAAGGTGATTCGAACATCCTCTGCGACAGTCGTCTTGATGCCCTCGAACACAGTGTTTGAGTCTTTCTGCGACATGCTCTTCACTCCCATCACTTTGCTTGAGTTGAAAACTTCGTTTTGACATTCTTCGATGCTGAACCAGATGTTGCAATTTCCGCTAAGATCCACTCGAGGGCATGAGGAGATGGAGATTGACTCTATTGTAAGACCTCGGGTTTCGAACTGGCCGTTCTCACACATGACTTGCACATAGTTGAGGTAACGGAGCTGACTTGGGGTTAAGATCTGCTCATCTCCATGAAGAAGGCTGGATTTCCTAAGTCGTTTCCATGCGAACCACTCCATGGCATCGTTGACATTCGGAGAGAATTTGCAGTAAACCAGCCAGGCACAAACCATCACAGCTGTCCTCCCCTTTCCGTTCCTGCAGTGGACCGCAACCACGTGATTTGAGTCATCTTCGAGATACGATGCCGTGTGCTCCAGGAAGGAAACAATCTGCGAGAGGAGGGGAGGATTATGATTCACTGTCGGAATCCTTTCCACTCTGTTTCCAAACAACCTGGCATCATAAGATCTTTCAGAGCAGACATTGAAGATGAGATGATTGGCAGGGTGCTTCAAGTAGAAGAACCTTTGAACCTCCTCAAGAGAATTTGCAAAGATTGCTTCAGTTCCAACTGCAGGAAGTGACATCGCGATGCATGTGGGTGTTATGTACGCCAAGTCGAGATTGAATCCATCCTTTTGATAGCGAGTCTTTGATGAAAGGATCGTTTTCCTCAGCCTTCTGAATATTTTGACCAAGCGCAAGCATCTTAAAATTCTTGCAAAGGTGAAAGTAGTTGCTCGCCGCCCAAATGTTGATGAAATCACGAGAATAAACACCGTTACTGAAGCCACAATGATAATAAGATCGAAAAGATCTAAAATGCGCCAAAGCAATGAAAGTCGATATCCGTAGACTCTCACGCTTGCTTCAAACGTGTAAACAAGGAGAATACAACCGGTGACGACATTCAGAGGAGAATTGTATGAGCCCTCGTTTTCATTCGTTGACAACTCGACGACTGTACAAGAGAAATCCAGACAGACAAGCGTCAGAATCAAAAGCTCTGTCCACGCGGCTTCCACCCACTGCTGGGCAGCATGCTGAACTCGTCCAAACTCTTTCGTTTGATACTTGCTCTTGATTGCTTCGAGGCCACTTAAGATTCCGGCTCCTCCTCGAAGTGTCTTCACTGCCTTCAAAGAGTCCTGCTCTTCTACTTCCGAAAACTTATCTTGTGCCTTCTTTTCCAAGTTCGGCAAATCTTCTTCAACCTGTGCAAGAATATACTGAAAAAACTCTCGAAAATGTATCAATCCTACAATATTACCATTCGAGCTGACCACCCCAACCTCACTCACTCCGTACTGGAGCATCGTGAAGAAAACATTATCCAGCGTGTCAGAGTCGCTGACAGTCGGAAGTGGCTGTACGGCCGAAAAGATGGTTGCCACTGTGTCCAAGAACGATCTCTGGCTTGTAAAGCAAACCTCCATGAAATTTTGCCGTGACCACAAGACATCCTCAGCGTGTACCTCTGTGTCATGCGACGAAGGGATCTTTCGCGCTATCACCGTTTCTCCTCTTTCGAACTCTCTCAGAACGTCGATGATGGACATGTTGCTTATAATGCGCGGGATTTGAGTTGCTGCACAGATGTCTCTTGCTGGAACGCTGCGAAGAGCTTGTATAAACGAAGGACAGTCTTCCAGGTTGTAAGAGTCGATTGATGACCGCCATCGTGTTGCCCTACTGCTTGCATGGCTTTCAAGGCTATGGCGCGATTGTGAGGGACTTTCAGATCTGGAGTCAACCTTGGAAGTGAGAGCAGAAGGGAGAGATCGACTGGTCATGCTCCTCCTCTTCCTCTTCACCCCTCCTTCTTCTTCTTTACTTCATCCCCGCCCGTGCATTTCAAGTCGGGCCCCGCGACCACCCTTCAACCCCACAACTTAAGTACCCTCGGCCTTTTGCTTACCCCCATTTTTCATGACCCCCACCCCTCTGTCTTCGTTTTGTCCGGTACTGCAAACATTAAAACCTGGGTACTCTCCACCCACCCACCCTCAACATTCCGTTCGAGTCCCTGCCCCCACCCCTTGAAACTTCCCTACCGATTTCCTGTCCCCTGGTTTGTGATGTATCTTATTAGACTTGAAATGTTACCACCGTTTTTTCATATCTATATTCAAATCATATTGACAAAATTTGAATCCTTTGAAAATACGAAGTTTACGATGTACTTTTGAACGGTGGGGGTTATGACCGGGTCATAGCACTATGTCAGTACCGAGGGCCCTATATTGGTCATAGGACCACTGACTCGCAGCGTGCTCATAGCAACACATAATACCGCCGCTAGCACCACCCTAGGACCTCCGACTGGCGCCGCCGGGCCGGCCGAGTTCAGTGAAGCCTTCAAGGCTTGAGCTCTGAGCCCGGCCTGGCGCCGGGCCGAGGCAGCCCGGGTCCTTTGGCTGACTTGTCTTCAAGGCTTATTCGCGTCTAAGGGATTTTATTCCTCCTGCATGCTCCTACTGCTCCTGCTGCTTGTTGCTTGATTGCTTGCCAGGTCCCTTCGGCTGCTTGTCTGCGCGGCTTCGCGCTTGGGCTGGCGATGCCCGGCCGCGTCTGGTTGCCAGCAGTGCTGGTTCTTTTCGGGCTTGTGTTTTGTGTGTGATTGTGCAGCTTCTCGCTGTGGACTGTGTGCCTGCCGGTTCAGCTTGTTCCTGCTTTGTTTTGCTTGAGGCACTTTTCCTATCTGCCCAGTGCTGCAGAAACTCATGGGAAGAAGCCTGAGGCAACCTGAGGGGGCGCGGCAGCCTCCACCGCCCCAAGGACACTGGCCGCCCCGGCAGCCGCCGCAACAGCCGCAACAGCAGCAGCAGCCTGAACTTCGGCGGTCACCTCGGTTGTTGCTTGATTGCCTGACCCTTCGGCTGCTTGTCTGCGCGGCTTCGCGCTTGGGCTGGCGGTGCCGCGTCTGGGTGCCAGCAGTGCTGGTTCTTTTCGGGCTTGTGTTTTGTGTGTGTTTGAGCAGCTTCTCGCTGTGGACTGTGTGCCTGGAGGTTTAGCTTGTTCCTGCTTTGTTTTGCTTGAGGCACTTTTTACCTTCTGCCAGTAAATCCGTACTGCCTCTCGGAACCCTCTGCCAGCAAATCCATTGTCCGACGGAACCTACAGCCGTCGTCTCTCCCACAGCAGCAGCCGCGGCGCAGGCCCTGAGTCGGAGCAGCTGCAACCACCCCAGCAGGCGGCGACAACGGCAGAAGCAGCAACGGCGGCGGCAGCCACCTCAGCACTGAGCAGCAGCTGCTGCGGCAGCATCCTGCAGCTTTGAAGCTCTGCATATCCTCCAAGGGGTCCTTCTTGGCCGGATGCCAGATCTTCTTATTCCTGCCCTGCGGCGGCCATTCGTCGAGGAGTATCGGGTTCGCAAACCTTCGACTCGCGACGAAGCTTGCGTTGGCAGCGATTCGCTCATCTCTTGACCAGCACTTCCTCTCGTCTCACCCTCGAGCGATTCAGTTCGGACTCGATCGAGACGGCTGTCTGTTAGTACTTGATCTCGGATCCCAGGGATGTGAATATCCCCCTTCTTTTTGCGGCCATGAGGATGGGAGTACTGGCAGAAGGTAAAAAGTGCCTCAAGCAAAACAAAGCAGGGCTTGATGGCGGACGTGACGTTGGTCCACCCTTACATCCCTTACATTGGTAGCTCTGCCGACCTGACCAAGTGGGGGGAGGTCAACCTCGACGCCCTCCATGTTGCAGCGTCTGAGAAGATTCGCAAACATCGCGCTGCATATGCCATGACTACTCCTCCTCGAGCGTTCATCCCTCTTGCCATCTCGACGGACGGTACCCTGCATCCCGGACACCCTCCGCTTCATCTGGTATCTCGCGGACATCATTGCTCAGCGCTCGATGCCTCTTGAGGATGCGGCGTTTGTGCTGCTGAGGTCTTGGCTCGCAAACGCGCCGCCACCTATCAGCGCCTCACCATGCAGCTGACGCTGGAAGCGCTCTTGTCTGGTGCGAGGCGCATGACGCCCTTGCGGGCGCAAGCACTTCTCGAGCCACAGGACAGCTCCTCCTCGGACTTTGTCGAGTCGCCCGAGGAGTCTTCGCCGGAGGTCTCCGACTCCGATGGGGGACACCCTTCGAGTGGCCCCGACGATCGGCGCGGAGCTGGCGAGGCGTCTCCGTCCCTCACTGTGACGTCGGGTGCCTCCGGAGAGCTCGACACCACCGTGGGGTGCTTGCTGCTGGTCCGAGCTCGCCTGCTTCCTCCCCGGCATCGGTCGGGTCACGCCGGTCCTTGGGCATTGCCGCGGCGTCGCCGCCGTCACGGGCGGCTACCGCTGACTCGGCTACCGCTGACTCGGAGGCTAGCGAGGAGGACTACCTCGAGCGGTACCGTGTTCCTGTGTCCAGCCTCCCTCCGTCCGCTGCCCCAGGCGGACCCCCGGGCAGCGCCGGCTCCTTGTCGGCGGCTGCCCTTTCTCCGTCCGCGGCCGCCCGCTTTGTGCCGGCAGCGGACGTCTCGACTGACAGTGGTCAGTCGGCTGCCTCCGGGTATCGCGTGTGAGGGATTTTATTCCTCCTGCATGCTCCTGCTGCTTGGTGCTTGATTGCTTGACCCTTAGGCTGCTTGTCTGCGCGGCTTCGCGCTTGGGCTGGCGCTGCCGCGTCTGGGTGCCAGCAGTGCTGGTTCTTTTCGGGCTTGTGTTTTGTGTGTGTTTGTGCAGCTTCTCGCTGTAGTTTAGGATTTACTGGCAGAAAGTATGTGGACTGTGTGCCTGGAGGTTTAGCTTGTTCCTGCTTTGTTTTGCTTGAGGCACTTTTTACCTTCTGCCAGTAAATCCTATGCCTTCCTTCTGAGCGGCGGCCACTCTCCGATGCGAGTCTCGAGCTACGAGGCACATGCAGCTTCTCGCTGTGGACTGTGTGCCTGCCGGTTCAGCTTGTTCCTGCTTTGTTTTGCTTGAGGCACTTTTTACCTTCTGCCAGTAAATCCTATGGGTATCTTTTTACCTTCTGCCAGTAAATCCATTGCTATCCCCTCAGGGCCTTCCCGCACCGCTATGCTCAGATGCTCGACTGCTATCTCCATGGCATGCCGATCTGCCAGTGTCCGACGGAATGTGATGGATGTCAGCGCGAGCTCGATCCTTCCGTTGCTGCACATCATCTCCAGACCTGCAAACGCCGATCCTCCAAGCTTCCCACGGCGCAAGACAACCTTACTCGCACTCAGTTCGGTGAGGAGGATTCGGTCAATGCTCAACGAAGCTGGTCTTCAGAGCGTCATCGATACAGTGGGGGATCATCGTTCTCGACGGCAGGTGAGACGGATCATTACTGGGGCTTGTGTTTTGTGTGTGTTTGTGCAGCTTCTCGCTGTGGACTGTGTGCCTGGAGGTTTAGCTTGTTCCTGCTTTGTTTTGCTTGAGGCACTTTTTACCTTCTGCCAGTAAATCCTATACCCTCCTCGATCCCTCCGTTGCTGCACATCATCTCCAGACCTGCAAACGCCGATCATCCAAGCTTCCCACGGCGCATGACAACCTTACTCGTACGATTCGGTCGATGCTGAACGAAGCTGGTCTTCAGAGCGTCATCGATACAGTGGGGGATCCTCGTTCTCGACGGCAGGTACCCTCCCATCCTCATGGCCGCAAGACATAGGATTTACTGGCAGAAGATGAAGGGCGATATCCACATTCCTGGAATCCGCGATCGAGGGTCCGAGCAGTACGAGGTACATAGGATTTACTGGCAAGCATAGGATTTACTGGCAGAAGGTAAAAAGTTGCAGAAGGTAAACAGTGCCTCAAGCAAAACAAAGCAGGAACAACCTAAAACTACGAGGGCTTGATGGCGGACGTGACGTTGGTCCACCCTTACATTGGTAGCTCTGCCGACCTGACCAAGTGGGGGGAGGTCAACCTCGACGCCCTCCATGTTGCAGCGTCTGAGAAGATTCGCAAACATCGCGCTGCATATGCCATGACTACTCCTCCTCGAGCGTTCATCCCTCTTGCCATCTCGACGGACGGTACCCTGCATCCTGTCATTGCTCAGCGCTCAATGCCTCTTGAGGATGCGGCGTTTGGTCGGCACTTCGTGCCTGATGACGGACCTGCTGCTGAGGTCTTGGCTCGCAAACGCGCCGCCACCTATCAGCGCCTCACCATGCAGCTGACGCTGGAGGCGCTCTTGTCTGGTGCGAGGCGCATGACGCCGTTGCGGGCGCAAGCACTTCTCGAGCCACAGGACAGCTCCTCCTCGGACTTTGTCGAGTCGCCCGAGGAGTCTTCGCCGGAGGTCTCGACTCCGATGGGGGACACCCTTTCGAGTGGCCCCGACGATCGGCGCGGAGCTGGCGAGGCGTCTCCGTCCCTCACTGTGACGTCGGGTGCCTCCGGAGAGCTCGACACCACTGGGGTGCTTGCTGCTGGTCCGAGCTCGCCTGCTTCCTCCCCGGCATCGGTCGGGTCACGCCGGTCCTTGGGCATTGCCGCGGCGTCGCCGCCGTCACGGGCGGCTACCGCTGACTCGGCTACCGCTGACTCGGAGGCTAGCGAGGAGGACTACCTCGAGCGGTACCGTGTTCCTGTGTCCAGCCTCCCTCCGTCCGCTGCCCCAGGCGGACCCCCGGGCAGCGCCGGCTCCTTGCTGCCCTTTCTCCGTCCGCGGCCGCCCGCTTTGTGGCGGCAGCGGACGTCTCGACTGACAGTGGTCAGTCGGCTGCCTCCGGGTATCGCGTGTAAGGGATTTTATTCCTCCTGCATGCTCCTGCTGCTTGGTGCTTGATTGCTTGACCCTTAGGCTGCTTGAGTCTGCGCGGCTTCGCGCTTGGGCTGGCGCTGCCGCGTCTGGGTGCCAGCAGTGCTGGTTCTTTTCGGGCTTGTGTTTTGTGTGTGTTTGTGCAGCTTCTCGCTGTGGACTGTGTGCCTGGAGGTTTAGCTTGTTCCTGCTTTGTTTTGCTTGAGGCACTTTTTACCTTCTGCCAGTCAATCCTATACATTCCCTCCCCTCCCAGCTTCTCGCTGTGGACTGTGTGCCTGGAGGATTAGCTTGTTCCTCGTACTGCTCGGACCCTCGATCGCGGATTCCAGGAATGTGGATATCGCCCTTCATCTTGCGGCCATGAGGATGGGGAGGGTACCTGCCGTCGAGAACGAGGATCCCCCACTGTATCGATGACG